TCTGCCCCTGGCTCTTCCATACATGACGACGCCATCCTTCTCATTGAAGCAGTGGCTCTCAATGGCTCCACGTGTATTGGAGGAGCCATTTGAGGCGCCCAGAGTCGCTCTCGTATTAACTTGAACGCTCTCTCTCTCTCTCTCTCTCTCTCTCTCTCTCTCTCTCTCTCTCTCTCTCTCTCTCTCTCTCTCTCTCTCTCTTTGGGGCCTGTCTTTTTTTATTATTATTATTATTTTTGGTTGTATCACGCACAGGGCGCACCTCCCTCAGTGTGCGCACCGCGCACAGCGGACCACACTGCGCACAGTGCGCGCAGTCATTCCAGCGCACAGCGCAGTGCGCCCCGCCCCGCCCCGCACTGCGCACTGGTGCGCCGCCACTATGGATTGAATGTAACGAAAAAGCGGGCGACGTAGGGGGAACTGGAAAAGCAAACAGCAATGTATGTGTTGAAAGAGGTCACGGAAAATATGATATTGGCTTAAAGGTTTTGTGCGAGAAATGAATTGTGTGGTTCTGTTAACAAAAGAATGAAAGAAAAAAAAATATTTGAATTGACGAGCGAGTATGCAGAGGCTGAGGCAGGGCAGGGTCTGCTGCAGGACGCCGCTCATCTTCTAACATAGGTACTGCTGATTTCTGACACTGCTATAAAAATAAAAATAAAAAATAAAAAATAAAAATAAAAAGATTTCTGACGCTGCTACTGTTTCTGGAATTGGATTTTTTTTTGGGCCCCATTTCATTTCGTTTTTTGTGTGCAGCCTCAGCAAACTAGTAGAATACTGCCGCGATGAGATCATTTCCAATTGCGGTAAGCGGCTTAAAGACCCATTTGGAAATTTTGAGCCAGTTGGTACACAGTGCTACACACACCCATGAAATGTTGAAAATACAGATGGAAAGTTATGGGTCACCATATGGAGCTAGATGAGCAGAATAGAACAGTTTTGAATTACTGAGCGTTGCTCAGTTTGCCGATGCCATCCCAAGGCTATCAGCCTTTTTTCTAAAAAAGGAAAAGAAAAAGGGAAAAAAAAAAACACCTCCATACCCACGTTCATGGAGGTGCATCTCATACCTGTGAAGTTGTGTAAACCGATCGCTTCCTGAAGTTCCTGTTTTTTTTTTTTTTTTTTTTTTGGGGGGGGGGGGGGGGG